GAGAACAAGCATGATTAAAATAATGAAAGAAAAATCCTTATTCATTCTCATTAATATGTTTCACGGTGAAAAAGTTCTGTAGTTCACATTCTCATATCTACTCAAAGCACGATGAAGAATCTGTTTTTGAACACACACACACACACACACACACACACAAGCATGCATACACATATTATCATATTTACAGTGAACACTGGCCAGACTAATTCTAGTCAGTTTATCTCCACCTCTGGAAGACTGAAACCTGACTAGAACTCCACCATGTGAAACATCAAAGTTAGCCAATTAACTAAAAGTGGACTGGGCAGGACACCGTACCTGGACAAGTTTCTGAACATAATTTCATCATCCCTTGAGAAATTATAGGGTTCCCTTTCCCCTATTTATGTAACTCACAATTACATTCTGCCACAAATACTTTTCCTTTTCACCTCACAGTTCATAGATCTGGGAATTCTCTCTCCCTTTTTTATGAGAAGAACCCAGGAATTTGCTTATCTGCCTGCCTGAGGTCTAGAGATAGAAGCTTGGCAATTTGTTTATCAAAAAGAGGACATTCAGGTCTCCACAGTGATACTTTATTTACTTGCTAAAAATCCACAGAGGTCTATTTCACTTAGAAGTGCAGATCTCTTATCCTAATGATTAGGCTACAGCATGCACCTCCTTCAGCTCCCTCAGCAGAGCACACCAGCCCTCCCTGCTCACCTCGTAATCTACAACCCGGGATGCTGGGCCTGTGTGAGGCTGGCTCCTGCTGCTCTCCATGGGACTACATCTCCCCAGTGGTGAGGGCAGGCTTCTCCTCACTCAGGTCTAAACCCAAAGTTTCTGTCCTCTGAGAGAAATGAACCTCTCCACCACTGCACTCACAACACATCAGTACATCACCTTCAACATTGATGTTATTTATACATCCACTGTTCGCTGGCTACTTACCCACCACTAGGCATGCAAATCCTGGAAGAGAATGGGCCGTGTTACTACTACTATAAAGAAGAAAAGTCAATTTCTATCCTTTCTAATTTGAGCTGGCCTTGTGCTTTGCCTTTGACAGTATTTAGTGAAATGTGATAGTCCACCTGTCTGAGCTAACTTTTAATGGGTCTTGTGGCTTCTACTCTTGCTGTCTTTGAATCCTGAACAACCACAAAAAAAGTCCCAAGAACTGGCTAAAGTGAAAAGCCGTAAAAGATGTAAGACTGCAGAGAAAGACAGAGGCTCAGCCAGCCATCAGCCACTCTGGGCGGCCTACCTTAGGCCAGACTTGGGAGGGACACACTCTTAGGTGTGGCAGGTGCACTAAATCTGGGCAGACAGTACCATGTGGACAGACAGTCTCTATGGGGCATTGTCCAAAAGCAGACTCTGCAAAAGTTGTTGTCTTAAAACCAAAAACCTTCAGAATGGTTTGGTGTGCAGCAATAGATACAGGATAGTCTCTGGTATCAGAAATGCAGTGTTACAACAAAGATGAAAAGTATATCGTGCTGGCTTTAGACTCAGACAGTGCTAAGTCAGTGAGAAGGGTGTGGGGAGTTAGACAAGCACGAAAAGTTTGCATTTAGAGGCTGGAGAAACAGAAGCAGTTCTTCAATAGTGCTGGAAAATCCACAAGATTGGAAACTACCATGATGTGAAACAGAAAATACCTGTGATGTCCTTGTGGGGCTGCTGAGGAGGGCGCTGGTCCAGTGTGAAATGAAGTAGTGGATTTCTTTGATTGTGTATGACAAGGTAGTAAGGGAGTGAGGTGAGCTGCAGGAGGAATTCTTTCATTTTGGAGAATTTGTTAAAACCATAGTAGCCCTAAGATAGTATCTTCAGATGGTGAAAGATTCCAGGGCTAAGAATGGTCACAGCATAAAGATAAAAACCAGTGTGAAATAACAGCTCGAAAGTAAACACTGATTACTGAGTGAGACCACAGACCCTCACTTCAAACTTTTGAGAGCCGTATCCCCTCACAGATTGTCGCAATAATTCTTTGTGGTATTTTGTTCAGCCTCTGCAGCAGGATACATTTTACACAAAATACACATATTTTACATGAATTAGGAAGGACATTTTGCTCAAGAATTACAAAATATTTCATTGTCAGTTGAGAACTTGATTTAGAGATAATTTTATATGGGGCTCATCTGTTATTACAGGTACCCTAAAATATATGAATCACCTCTACATTCTCCCACATTAGCAAAGATTTGCTATAGTAAAACAATAAATACTCATGCCAAAATAATTTTAATAAATATACTTTGCTATAATAATTTCACCTGCATATATATAGGCCATATATAAACATTTTAAGAAGACATGGAAACTTATCTTCTCGGAAAGTTGGTTGTAGAAGGTGTTGTATCTAGTAGTACAAGGCATTCTGAAGATGCCATTGACAGATTTCCTCCCAATTCTTATACTCACAATTTACATTTCTCCTAGATGAAGGCTGTGGACAGGCCTCAAGAATATAACTACTTTTAAATTCTTTTATTTTATGAAAAAATAAAACAAATTTTTAGAATCAAACACATAACAAGAGAACGTACCTAATGATCAGCTTTCTTCTTCAAAGTACTGAGTGGGACGTGTAGCATCCCATACTCAAAGTATGTACAGCTTTGAAGTTTGGTCCCTGATGCTAGTTTTGAATTAATTTTCTTATTTCCACATTTATGATTTTCTCTGGGAATGAATTTATGAATCTTTATAAATTGTTCAAATACCTTTGTCAAAGTAAGAATTTTGAGTAGTCAATTGATTTTTGTCTCCTTTTTCCATACTGTGCTCTAGCTTGGATCTGGAATTTCCAAACCATGTAGACCAAGGCTCTGGCGCTGAAGATTGAGGCCTTAAAGGGGTAGGGAGGGTGGACTATCTTCTGGTCATTGGGGGTGGGCTCTTCAAGGGTTAGGACTCCACCCCTTCCTTTTCCTTTTCGTTGTGTTTGGTCAGGAGCTGGGCAGCTTTGTTTTGCCATGTGCACTCTACAATAATCTATTGCTGCAATACGGGCTCAAAAGCCATGGGGCCAACTGATCCAGGACTGGAACTCCAAAACTATGAGGAAAAACAAACCTTACCTCTTTTTAAGTTGGTTATGTCAGGTGTTCCGTTATAGTAACAGTAATGCAACACATTATGAAATTAGCATTTTCCCATAACTTTAAGACCTACACAATATTTTATGACATGGAAGCACCATTATTTACACATATTCCTTGTTGGACTAGTAGATCAATGGTCAAATTTTACTGTTATAAAAATTGTAATAAATGTACTTTATACTTAAGTTTTTTTCACATATCTGATGTTTTTCTAGAAATGGAATTTCCTGCTTAAAGGCTCTTGAAATAAATTACCAAATTACTATATTTTGAAAAGATTAACAATTTTCACTCTCCCATCCTGGTATCTACCACAACACGCCTCCCACACTGAGCAGTAACATCATAATTCAGGACTGTTAACGGGAGCAGCAAAAGGTATTAAATGATGTAATGAATATTCTTGGATTATTAGAGTCCAGGCTGTGATGCTTCCTGTATCTCATGGTTTCAGTTGTCTTCTTTCCTATATCTGTTCTGCAGAGTTGTGTCTATTCATGTGTAAGTCCTACACTTTCAATGACAAAGAAAGCTCAGTAGATTTGATGGTCTAGATATTCCTTTATTATAAGTCTTATGTTGCTAGCATCAGTATGATCATACAGGAATCAGGGTTTTGAGGAGGCAGTTAGGGCTTGAGGATGAAGATCTAAGGACTTCAGGAGCACCCAGCAAGCTGTAAGAGCCCCTAGACCATCTTAAGAGAAAGCACCAGGCAGTAGACATATGATTTACTGGTATCAGAAACATGGCTTCTCTAGGCAAAACCTTTCTGCTCTGCATAAGCCTCCTACATCATGGTGCTTTGCTATAGTAGCCTGATTGGAATGAGAGCATAAGCAAGGATCAGTTTTCAAGAATCAAGTCTGTTCTTATCCACAAAGTTCAAAACTGAGAATCATTCCTAAGGAAATAATCTAAATATAGAAATGTTAATGTGAATGGATGGCCCCTGCAACCATATCTATAATAGTGAGCAAGTTGTAAGTAAATATCTGATAATATTGAAACGGCTAGGGATAACAGACCTGTAAAGTATTGGAGTGAATGTTACATTAAAATATATGAGAATAAAAGGGAAATTTTCAACTTTAAAGGTGGAAAAATTTCTACTATATACTGTCAAATAGTATTAGGATAAAATACTACTTTTTCTACTAAATTGTAGAAGGAGATAATTCAAAAAGTATTAACAGTAATTAACTAGTGGAGTTATGAATGCTTTATATTTTCTTCTCTGGAAATTGTATTCTTTTTCAATTTCACCACATTATACTTCTGGTTTCCTTGTAAAATTTATTCTAGTTTAGGACAGAGCTAATGTTCAAAAATATATTTTCATTATTGTAAAAATGTTATTTTTAATTACATTGCAAATATCCCAGCTCTTTTAGCAGCTCTTTAAGTGAATATTAACTGAAATGTACAGCTCTTCATGTGAATATTGACTGAAAATATACAGCTCTGTCTTAAACTAGAATAGACTGGGGCACTGTGAAATTGTAGAACGCTGGGAGGCTGAGGCAGGAGGATTGCAAATTTGAGCCCAGCCCAGGTAACCTAGTGACTCAGTGAGACCTTGTCTCAAAATTAAACATTTTTTAAAAGAATGGATGGGGATATAGTTCATTTCAAAGTCTCTGAGTTTAAGCTGAGAGAGGGAGAGAGATAGAGTTGTGCAGGAGGAGAGAATAAGGAACAGAGGCCATCTAAAGTGCCACATCTTTTACTCTGTAACTTAATCACAACCATCCAGACCTGTGTGGCCAAATGATCCACGTCCTAAGCTGTGACCACATCAATCAAAGCTGTGCATTGCAACTCTGTGTGTCTTTTCAGTTCAGCGCGGCTTTCCCAGTGAAGGCTGCTGAGGAGGACCTGGACACGTACCTGTCGAATGACGGCTTCTCCCCGCAGTCGAAGGCGTCCTGCAGCTCCTTGACCAGATTAGCCTGGCCTGGCAGCCTGAAGAGACCCTCTTCCTTCAGGCCCCGCTGTCGGATGAAGTCCACGCACTGCTCCACCAGCATGGGGGCCAGGCGGTTCCCGTACCTCTTCTCATAGCGCACAGTGTCTTCCAGTTTCTGCCCAAAAATACCTGGAAAAGTAAGACAGCACCGTGAAGTGGAGAAATCTATCTCTTCAGACTTCATGGCTTAGTTTCTAAAGCAAAAAGCAAGGTTAACATACCAGCAAGTACCTGATGTTTGGCAGTTCCCATTCTTACACCATCAGTTTCGTTATACATAATTCTTGAAAAGGAAAGAGTTTACCTTATGTTTCCCTTTCCTTCTGTTCTATGCTTAGCTCAAAACCGAACCAGAAATACTGTTTGAAGTAGAAAAGTACCATTACAAATACAATTTTAGGTTTGGGTTTTCATATTTTTTTTTTTTTTTCTGGGAAGGAAACTGAACTCAAAAGACAAAGGTAGGGATATTATCAAAACATTAGTCAAGATTTAATCTGCTTGTGTTTTATGTACAAGTTGCATTTAGTTTAGAGTCTATCCATTTCTCTTCTCCCCTTTTGTTTTCATTCATAATGCCATGCCGGAGATTAAAACGATAAAACCAGGAAAATAAGATATGTTAAAAAAACGGGAGGGGATTACAGATGGAGGAAGGGGGAGGGGGAGGGGGAGGGGAGTGAAAGGAACTCTGCTATGTTCTGTCCAGGAGGGATGCAGAAGTCACATACCACCCACATGGACTAACAAACTAAAATAAAAAATTAAAATTAAAAATATTTCCAACAGTCTGTGTTCTCTTTCAAATCTTAAACTAATGACTTCTTTGCAAGGGAAAAATTAAAATTAGGAAGCAGTGAATTCTAGGAGCGAGGAGGATTTGTCATCATTGTTTAGCCCGGCGAGAGGGTACTATGCCCGCTTCTCTGGTCTGTGGTTGCCAGCACTCAGTGACAGCACAGGTTTTAGTCAGTTTGATCACTGCTTTTAAAATACCTCTAAGGACACATTCCTCGTTATATGTCCCCAGGACAGAACACCCCCAGTACTCCATCCTTGGTGCCCCACTGAGAAGAGACAGCACTTCTCAAATATATTCATATTAGACAGTACCTTGGCAAATATGATCAACTTATGGGGAAAGGAGGGAAAATAAAGTCAAGGCACATATGACTCCAACATCCTCAGAAGAAATGAATCATTAAATGATTTTAAGGGCCTGGTAAGTTTCATAAAAGGGGAAGAAAAATAAAAGTCTATTAAAATGATATTAGCCTCCAAAGCATTTAAGGAATTATTTAACAACCATTAGGTTAATATTTGATAATAACAGCAGATGTTTCCCCCCCCATCCACATGTAAAATCGTTTAGCTATGGATTCAGCAACGTGAAACCGCCACATTCCAGCAATAAGGATCTGCTACCAAAGAGAAGATTCACAGTTCAGGTAAACATTGACAAGAAATAAAATTATCCCCCTCCTGGTTTTGAACCCAGCACTCACTGTATTGCTTTTAGAGAATAAGGTTGGGTGACTTAATATCAATATTCAAGAACATAGCAAATAGAATTAGAAAATGGTATTTTGTAAGCGAGCAAAGGTTAGAGCAAGTAATAGGCCCATTTAACTTAGTTTACAGCCTGTAGGACAAGCAGTTCCTTGACAGTAGTGTGTCAAACCTTATTCAGTAATTCACCAGCCATTCTCCTGATATTTTCTCTTCTTAGCTCTACTTTAAAAGCTGAAAAATTAAATTAAATGCTTCTCTCACTTCTCTTACAGTGCAGTGGCCACATGGCGGAGCGCTGGCCGAGAAGTCTCATGGAGACTAGAGGAAGACCTGTGTTGTGGGTGGTAAGAATGGTACCTGGAACTGCCAGCTGTCCCTTTGCCTTGTCTTTTCTGCTTGACTTTTCCTTTCCTGATGCCCTCAGAGTGGGAAAAGCATGGCTGCCTGGAGAGAATCAAGGTTACACAGACAGCTAATGGATGTGAGGCTGGTAACAGCCATTGTCTACCACAGAAAGCAACAGCAACACCAGGAATGATTTTAGGAAGGGCAGAAACTGGACCTTGTTTGATATTCAGGGCTTGGAATCATCACTTGGATTAAAAAATTTTTTTAAAAAAATATTTTAACTTATTCACAAAACTATAAAAATCGCAGATGTACTGATGGGGTATGGTGTGATGTTTGATGCATGTATGCACTGTGTAGTGTGTCAATAAGGTTAAGCATATCTATTTCTTCAAACATTCTTTATTTTCATGTGAAAACATTAACAATCCTTTCTTTTGGCTTTCTGAAAAAAATGTATCTACTGTTATCTACACTGGTCCTGCTTGCAAAGCACACCACAATTTCATGTTCCTTTCTAACTGTGACTTGGTGCTTCTGGACCAATCTCTCTCCATCCTTTCTCTGCAGCCTCTGGTACCCACCATGCTCTGCTCAGCTTCCATGAGATGTTTTTAGAGTCTACCTATGAGTAAGGCATGCACTGCTTCCCATAATGATCACCAATTCCATCGTGTTGTGTGTAGGACAGGATTTCATTCTTTTATGCCTGAAAAGCATTCCCCTACACGTATGAATAACATTTTCTATATCCGCTCATCATTTGATGGACCATTTCCTGGGCACACTTTAGGGAGGAAAGACATTAAGAACACTGATTCTTCTGACCTATGAACATACATGTCTCCATTCTTTTGTGTCCCCTTTAATTTCTTTCATCAGTGTGTCACTAGAGAGATACTGCACCTTTTTGGCTTAATTGATTTGTGAATTTATGTATTCTCATTTATAGCTATTTTAAGTGGGAGCTTTTTCCTTTCTTGATGTGGGTGTGATTGTGGTGCTTGTCATAGTCATCTTTAACCCATACGCAGATCAAAAGGGATCGTGACTAACAAAGATGCTCCGACTGACATGATGAGCTGAATACCAGCAGCACTTTCCTCAGATAGGTTTTTCATGGGAGAAAAAATAAGCCTTTGTCTGTTTAAGCCTTATTACCTGGGTCTTCTGTTACTTGGAGCAAAACAAAATTCTAGCTCGTTCTGTGGTGAAACTGATTTTGGAAGATAGCCTATTGTTCAAAAACAAGGCTTGAAAATTTGTTATGAATGGAGAATATTGACTCTTTTTTTTATGAGTCATTTAAAAGTAAATGCTTATTTGTCTGTAATGTTTCAATTCCATTCTGCCCAAATGAAGGAAATAGTTTTATAAGACACATAAGTCATCAAAAAAAGCATGTTGACCTTTGAGAATAAACTGTACCTATGTACAATTTTAAAATTTTGAATATTCTCATTGGATTGATGAATATATTACATACGTTTTCTCTGCAGTGCTAGGAGGAAAATCTTCCCATTTAACTTCTACATACCTTACAAATAAGAGCTAAGCTTCTAAGATTTAGTTTTACACAGTAATGAAACACAGTCAAATAAACTTTTCTCAAAGTTTCAGGGTTTCTTTTTTGGCAAACAACTGAGGAGATGATAAAAGAAAGGGTATGGTTTGCTTCAGATATATTTTTTTGCTTCCTTTTTTTCTTTATACATGCAGATTTACCTTTGTGATAAAATAAGAATTTACCTAAAATGTATAGTAAGACCCCCAAATTTGTTATGAATGTACTGTTATGCACTAAGCCCTTGGCATATATACCCTTCCGCTTTTCATCAGAAATCTATAAAGTAGCCACAATTCTCCTCACCCACAGCTGAGGCAAGTGGGGCTTCTGAGCATGAATAATCTGCCCAAGATTAGTTACGGAGCACAGAGTGACAGAATGGAAGTCCTTGTCTGGGCCTGTGCAGCTTTAGAGGCTTTGTGTCGTCTTCCTTTTCACTGAATTGAAATTGTCATGAGTCCTCATTTTCTAGCCATTTAAAATATCAGTAAAGGTGCAGGAGATATAACTCAGTAGCGTAAGCACCTTCCTGGCAAGCGCAAGGTCCTGAGTCCGATTTCCAGTACCATCCCCCAAAATCAGTAAATTCTAAAATAAGTAAGTAGTGCACCTTTTTATGGTTTTAAAAGCAATAATAGCCAAGCTCTACTTACATATGCTGGGCACATCATCAGCGTTACTTGCATTTCTCATAGTCAAAGCCCACAGTACCCTACAAGGTAGGCACCTCCTCTACTACATACAGGGAACTTGAAGCCCCTAGAAGGCAAGCGATGCAGCTCCCATAGAAAAAGTGTTCAGGGCTTCCCTGAGTATCTGTCACACAGTACTGGGTAGTGTGTGTCACAGCTAAAGGCAGAGATGGAGGGAGAATCATGCCACTTACTACGGGGCTTCCTGACCCGGGTCCTTCTCATCACAGGCCAGAGATGAGGGTTTATGCTGAGAAAATGTTAATTGGGTGGAAAAACATCGCCTAAAAATGGAGAAGGAACAAACTTTGGCACTTTCAGCGAGGATGTTTGTTTAGCAATGTAATGTGTAAGAAACGAAAGCATGCAGACATCATACACATAGGACTATACATTCCCATGGGACACAGTCGTTTTCTGCTCTAGAACTGGCCTTCTGATAAACTAATGCACACTCTCTACTCCGTGGCACTGGAAATAACAATATACCAAGCATCTCTGCCATAAAATGTTAGGTGTGGGTTAACCTCCCGCAGAAGAATACTTTTCTATTTTTTGAGGAAAATTACTGATGGGGTAAGAAAAATAATTTCAAACAAAAACACTTCAGTTCAAGTTTCCTTGAGGGAAACGGTGAGATTTCAAATTTTAAAATGAACAACAACAACAAAAAACACAAAGGTCACATGCTGCCCCTAACTAGCAGGACGGGGGAGAGAAACCACTGATTAGCAGATTATTAACCAGAATACTCCCTGTGGTGCAGGTCATGCAAACAATCCCAGCTATGCCCATTTAATTCTCAGTGTGGTCTCACAGCACCTAACAATATTGTCCCTGGAATTTCTGGGCGACATTGGTATGTCACGCTTACTTCTCTGAGAGTACCCTTGTGCTGCCAGAAAGTACCTCCAGGAGGGACTTTTCACCAGACTGAGACAGCAAAGCACATAGGTGAATTGATTACACGTGAGGGAGGTTATTTCAACTGGAGTGTGGGAGAGAGACTG